TGAAAGGTGAATCATTAGATCTGTATTGTAATTGGTTGTAAAGGACATAAGATCACTCTCTGCGTCACATGAGGATTATTTATCAGCCTGTCACAGGAGCAGAAATTGGAGCTGTCAAATGTATTTTTTATGACAGTTAGTCGCTGAATTTCAATAGTTGACAGCTCTCTACAATGTTTAGAATTTAAACTGCAGTACCCGTTTTAGACACTAGGGGTCAGCGATACATACTGCTCCTTAAACTTTTGTGTGTTGGGAACCTTCATGTAAAACTGTACCTACTAATAAATACAATGAAAACAACAATATTTAGATTTCAAAAGGCATGAAGTGGAGGAATAATGTAGAAGCCCGTGGTGGTGCTCCCATATTCACCGATAGTTTGTCTTTGGTTGACAACCTGCAGAGTGATCATAACTCTTCCTCTTTCTATAAAGTGATTCAGAACAGAAAGTCACGGCACAGAGTGAGTAATGATAGGACTAATAATTCTCTCTGCCACACCTCGTCTCCCAGACAGAGAAATGAAAAACCTGCAGTGACCAAAAACTTGTCCTGTCGTCTCCTCTACCACACTGCGAAATATGTAAGTATCTGTGTGCACATGACACGACTTGAAGGTCCAACCCCACCCCTTTCTTCTTTGTCTTTTCCTGCAGTAATGGGGTGGCTTAATTCCAGCAGCACGATGAACCAGATCCACTGACTTCATGACATCTGAATGTCTGATTCTGCTCCAAACAGGTATGTTAACATGCAGACTGTGACCTTTCCCCTCCTTATTATCACACTGTTTGAGCGAGTGTGTGTGTGTGTGTGTGTGTGTGTGTGTGTGTGTGTGTGTGTGTGTGTGTGTGTGTGTGTGTGTGTGTGTTTTACCTCCGACATCTGTGCAGCCGTGTTGGCTCTGGCCCCCAGCATCACCATGGCCAGAGCAGACGAGATGCTGAGGGGAGAGTAGAAGATATTTGCCGTCTTGTCGTCATCACTCAGCTTTTTGAACAGATCCAGAGAGAAGGTGCTGTTGGCCTTGGCCAGAGAGAACGGTGGTGATGTTGAAGCCATTGTGTCCAATAAAAAGAGGAGACTCTAAAACTGTAGCATCCGCTGGTATATCACTGAGTCGCAGTGTCCTGTATGAAGAAAATAAAACGTTTCAGTCTCTTCACAAGTGAAGGTGAGGAAGTTAATTGCAGGAAGAAGCTGAACGATCATTTGAGTCTTCGGCTTCCTGGTTTGATTCTTTAAACTCTCACCTATCTAATGCAAACTTTGAGAACTCTGCAACTACTGGTTTTTATTTTGCAACCTGTCGATATCCTACACTTTCTAAACGTGTGCAGACAGCTTCCACCCACCTCTCATGAACTCACTCAGCGGTGAATCTAAAACGATTTAGACTCTTTAAACCATCCCCATTGCTGGCTAACCAGGTGACAAACTGCACAAACCACGATCTGTTAGCTGTGTAACACCTGGCTGAGTCCTGCTATCTCTTCTTAAAATTCAGATCTCATGGAGGTGCTGTCCTGTACTCACCTTCAGACTCTCCTCCTGAAGACAGAAAGTGATCCAGTGAAAGAAGGAAAGAGAGAAAAACTTGTTCTGGCTCTGTGTGGTTTTCTGTCTCTCACTGCGACACACCCAGGATCACGCAGGTCCTGCCACAGCTTGAGAAAGTTTCTACAAATCACACCCATCAATGAGAGTCACACCCAAACATGTTCACGGCCTGTGCCAACGGGTGTGCTCTGCAGGAGATGGCACGCACACACACACACACACACACACACACACACACACACACACACACACACACAATAGTGTCAGTTATTAACACACTCAGTTTAACACTCAGTTCATTCTCTGAGTTGTTTCAAGGCAACACTTGCTGTCATGTCTTGACCCCTGACCCCGCTGTCCTCCTTTAGGGGACCTCTCTTTTGGTGTGTTCTGCGTTTAATATGGGATTTGAGCAGGGGCAAGGAAAGTGTGGGGGGAAAGGGGGACCCGGCCTGGCTGTCACACAGAAGTGTTGTCAGATCATTTGAATTCTGACACTCTCGGTCCAGACACGCCTACTCCCTGTCGGAGTTTGAGTAGAGGCCGTCGGTATGGGCCCTCGTCCTACAAAAAGGTCACTCAAGGTCATTCAAAGCAGATGAACTCATGACATCGTATTTTCTCCAGGACAGGAGACTCACCTCTGACTCAAAGACATTTCTGAAGTCAGATGGTTTAAACTTTAAAGCTTTTCCGACCTATTTCTTTTCCAGTAAATGTTTTCGTTTTGTTCAGGCTTCATGTGATGATTTTTTCCTCTGAGCAAGGAAGAGACAGAGACTAAGTGAGGAGGCGTGGTCGACCCGGTTGCTAGGTATGACACATGTTTTCAGAAGCTGTGATTGGTTAATTCAAATAAACTGAGAAAAAAAGTCAATCACAGAATCTAGTCAGACATTTTCTAATTATGAACATCCATATGATGGACTTTAAAAGAAAGAAATCACATGCCCACTGCTGCAGCAGCTTCTTCACCTGCTGATTAATCAGTGATTGAATGAACCTGTGGATGTGCATGTCCCACTTTGCACTGAAAACAGAGAAGGGCTGAAATGTCTGCATGAATCATTTTAGTCAACAAATCCATTATTTATTAAACTAAGAACACTAAAATTTCAAGATTTGATTGAGTATAAAACTATTCAAATTATATACAAAGCAAACTATCAGCAATTGCCTCATGGTATCCAAGAGTTGTTCCAACGAGAGAAAGCAAACATAAGTTGAGAAGAACATGCATATTCAAAAAACCACCAATCAGAACTAATGCAAAACTTCACAGTATAACAACTAAAGGTGTTAGTCTTGTGGAACAACTGTGATGACAGGCTGAAAAAACTCTATATTTAAACTAAAAAAACAAATATATATTGAATTGCCATAAAATATTGAGTAGATATGAGCTGGAGGAGTGACTTTCTATTTAGTTATTTCTTGGCTGATGGTCTTGGTTAATCTGTTCCCATTGTTTTTTGTTGTTTTGTCTAAAAACTGAATTTGTTTCAGCCAACAAGTCCAACATCATACACTGATTAATGAAAACATTTTTATTTTTCTGTGAATAATGCATAAAAATAAGGGGTAGGACCAGGAAAGTTTTTAACTTCTTCCTATCCCTTTTGAACATGAGCTATATTATTTGAGTTATTTGTTGCTATGGATCCTGAGGATATGTTTTTTGTTTGTATTTTCTAAACACATTCAATAAATTTACTAATAAAAAAAAAATGTGCCTGTTCTGCCTGACTTTAAGTCAAAGACTATTCCTCATGTCATGTTTAAACATTTTTTCTCCTCAGCTTGAGAAACTCCTTTTCAAAGTCCTCAGCATGTCAATCTAGTTCCTCAGGCTCAGAACATTTGGGAATAACTTTCATCAGTACACAGATCTAGCCTGACATTTTTAGGGAAAATTGGGAGCAACTCATGCAGCTTCATGAATACAAACCCTGGTGTGTTGACGTCACACGCTGCTTTCAAGGTTTTACTTTTAAACCTCTGGCCCAAAATTAAACATATCTGAACTGCTGTCCCCTTACCAGATCCTCAGGACCCTCTTCACCCCTCAAAGTTATAATCCAAAGACTGAATGTTTGAACTCAGACAAGCTACATCAGCATCTGAAAGACTGAATTATCATTTAACCTTATCTCCTTTAGTCATGTCATTTTTAATCTTTATTTTCAAGCTTTTTTATTGGGAGTTAGATGTGTAAGTGCTGCAGTCATCTTATATCAATGCACATTTACATCCCAGCTCGACACCTCTTCCAATGAATCCTGATCAGAAATGTAATATTCAAACAAGTTGTGAGCTTTCACTAAACTTGAGGACCCAGACAGTAACCACCACATCAGTTTCTTGTTTCTTTATTCATCAGCATCATCATCTTTATGCGTCTGCGATGGTGACCTCGACCTCTACACCGGGCTCGATGCTAATGGAGGTGATCTGCTTCACGATCTCAGACGGGCTGTGCAGATCGATCAGGCGTTTGTGGATCCTCATCTGGAAGCGATCCCAGGTTTTGGATCCTTCACCACAGGGGGTCTTTCTGGTGGTGATACGCAGAGTCTGGAGAAGAGAGGAGAAAGCAGTGAGTCATTAGAGATGACGGATTTTAGATTTTTTTTGGCAATATTTGTCCTTTCTGCAATACATGTTATTATTTTTCAAATATGGTCTTTTAATGTGCATCAATTATTTTCAATTTCAGTCAAACTTGGTGTTCGAGTCATTTTCTGATTTTAGATCTAAACCCTTCATACTTTGATCACACACTGGGTGCAGCCCTCTGATGATGTTCAAAGTTATGGTGAAATAGTAACCGAGTAAACCAAAGCTCACTGTAGCCCTGATCAGCATGCCGTGATGTTAATGTCCCTTCCTGAGAACCTTTGCCTTCAGGCTGAATGACGTGGAGGCGTAAAAGAAAGGACGAAGAGATCCACCTCTGTACCGTCTTCAGAGGGAGTAACAGAGGTGAGATGGGATCAGCTGAGCCAGCACCGTGTGTGCATGTGTCCGTTTATGTGGAGCTCCGCTTTGCCATGCTCATCAAAAATGCAAATTCACAGAGTGGGGCGCAAATATTACACCACCACCTGAACAATGTGGCCACAGCATCAACAAGCAGATACTTGGTAGGGGGGCTATTCTCACTTTAAATATTCTCATGCTTGAGATCTCAGCTGGCTTGAAAGTAGGACACTTCAATCTGTGGGACTCACTTTCCTTTTCTACCAGCAAATTCATATTTCTGTCATATCTAGTAAGTTTTATTGACGGGTCCTGTACCTTGGTTGGCATGCGGACGGGTCCCTTCACCTTCAGGTTCTTCTCCTTAGCCCCACGGATCAAGTCTGCGCACACTGAGGGTCAGAAAAGACCAAACTTAGACACCACAGATGAGAAATGATTTCACATTACGCTGAAGGCCTCGGCTCAGAATAGCGTATACAGTCGTCAGGTTTCATCAGGCGTGAATTCTATCCTCATTGCTCAGGTGTGTTTGAATCTGAATGTGAACTCTGTTGGCGTCACTCACCCTTCTCCAGAGACTTGACGTTGCGGCTGGTGAGGGTGATGCGGATACGATGGATGGCGACCTCTGTCTCAACAGGTGCCTTACCGGTGTCCTTAAAAGCCTGCATGTGTACAAACAAAGAATAAATAACACTGACTGGACCCAAATACTAACATTACACATCAAAGGAGGACTCCTCGATTTTAGCCCCATTTTTCTAATTTGAATGAATTATTTTAATTGTAGGAAACTTAATTTGCAGCACAAAGCACGTGGAGCCACTTCTACTCAAAGTGAAGATTATTAAGTGAGTTAGAAATGTTGCTTTGCTTTCTGTATCACCGACTTTAACTTAGTTATAGTTCAACGACCACATACAAACTTAACGTTTGTCTGAACACGTCACAACGCAAAATAATGTACATTAAAACCTAATGATCACTTCAAAGATGTGACGTCTGGTTAACCCGAGGCCTCTTAAAGAGTATATATAGTTGAAATATCAATTCAGTAGCTTTTTAGATTACTTCAGACAACCTTATTAAGATGATTTATTAAGAGTGAGAAATAGTCTTGAATTATGTTCTCTAGATAAATAAAAGACTTATAAATCCGTCATAAAGGCGGGTATAAGTTATAATATACAGGCCAGATAATGAAGGCTTTCCGGCGGGAGAGAAGCTCACGAGCTAACTAACCGGAGCCCGGGGATTTCAACGCTCAAACTAACCTTATTTTGATAACAAATGTACAGAAACGTAAGCGTGATATAAAATACAGTTTATATGTAAAGAGTACGTACCATTGTGATTATTCCTGACCGACTTATTCGGGAGAAATTCAAGCGAACAGCGGTGAGTCAGGAACGGACGCCAACAACGTGGTTAGCTGCTCACAGAAAGAACGAAAGAGGGCCCGTTTCCGGATTAAGTACTGCACATCCGGGTCTCTAGTTCTTCTTCTTCTGTTTTCTATACACCCTTTGCCAACAGCGACACCAAGTGGCTACACCTGACTGTTACAGTCAGTACTAGGTTGTAGTTACAGACCATCACCACTGGGTGGAAACAATCCGCATACCTGACGCTCACCAACATCCAACTCCAGCGGTGTTTGGTCAAGTTAGACTTGACAACAAAGTTATACATCCGGTTTCTCTTTACAAAATAAAGCAAATATTGACTGTGCTGAGATTACTTAAATCTTAAATAATAAATGTAAGCAAAGCAATGATAAAAGGGATAAATAACTGTTTTAATGTCAATCCAAACGAGGAGGCCAAAGAAAGTTGATTAAATGGTAAATGGACTTGAGCTTGAATGTTCTTTTCAAGTCTTCTGACGACTCGAAGCACTTTTACATCGCAGGTCACACCTACACATTCACAACCTGATGGTAGAGGTTACTATGTAAAGTGTCCATCAGTATTTTGCCACAGATAAAGCTGTGGGAGAAACTTGGGGTTAAGTGTCTTGCCCAAAGACACATAGGACATGTGGCTGCAGGAGCTGTCCTCGCTGCCCTCGTCCTCCAGTTGAGACACAACCGACTATACCACTGACCCACAGCCACCCCACATTAAACTGGTTACACTTTTGATCATTGCCAAGTCAGATATTTAAAAATAACATTGTTCAATAATGGAACTCCTTTATCTTTATCAAGTTGGATAAAGTTGGACACTGACCGACTTAGGGGTGGAGGTTATACAGGGGGTGAGATAAAGTGGCCCTTCATCAGGAGAAAACTCGATGAAGTTCGTCCTCTAATTATGACCCTAAATCCTTAAAAAAAAAAAAAAAATAGATAGATAGATAGATACTTTATTGATTCCGAGGGAAATTCAAAAAATAGAACAAACAATAAAGACAAAAGCAGATTAATTGTTTTTCCAATACAATTGTGATAAAGATAATCTTTCTGAAGCCCCCTGTTTTAAAAAAATATGCCCCTCCGTTGGCAAAAACGCCCCCAGAGTGGCTCTCAAAAGACTTGAACACTAAAATGGGCCACCTGAGGGTGTGGTGTTCCAGTAAAGGAAATCCAATACAAGGCCATACATACATGCTTACTAATATTTTAGATTTTTTTTCTCTGAGGTTTTGTCTGTGAAAATGCACAAGCAATAAGCTAGCTTTCCCTCTAAATGATCTGCCTTCTGCTTGCGCTAATGACAAAAAACATTTGCAGTGGCATAGTTCGCTGGGCTTTTATTCTGAAAAATGAAAGCAGAAGTTGTGTGTTGTGTCGTAACGGCGTTGATGCGAGTCAGATTCCAAAACAAGTAACGGAACCGGGGCAGCGGCGGCCGGTTGCCAGAAAGTTGTTGTGTCGAAACCGTGAAGAAACCACGAGAAGTTGTTAAGTAGGAAAGTAAAGACGACAGTCTGCGTTTTCTTCTCGATAAGAAGAAGATTTATCTTTAACCAGGAGATTTAATTAGATTTATCTGCGCGTCAGGCCGTTACCGAGTGACAGAGGAAAAGTCTGGACCGTTACCGTCCGTTAAAGTAACCGAACATGAATGGAGACCGGCTGACACTTTAACCGAAGAGATGAACTTCGGTGTCCCCGCCAATTCGCTGCTTCTTTTCCGAGCCTGCGACGAGGGGGATTATGACACCGCCCGGGGGATCCTGGAGCCCGGAGCCCCGAAGGAGTCCGGGCGGCAGAGCAGGCTTCGGTCCGAGGCCGGTTCGGAGTGTAACACCGCGGACATGTTGTCTCTGGTTCCGGTGGACTGCACGGACGAAGAGGGGAACACCGCCCTACAGTTCGCCTCCGCCAGCGGTCATGAGAACCTGGTTCGGTTTCTGCTTCGGAAAGGAGCTTCGGTGGACAGCCGCAACAACTACGGCTGGACCCCGCTGATGCAGGCTGCGAGGTGGGGCCGGAGCTCTCTCACCGCCAGCCAAACTCCATTCAGAAATAACAATATTTACATGTTAACGCCTTACAGATGATTGTGTATAACTTTAAAATATCACGTAGGATTAGTTAGAACCTGCTATTTAATTCGGCTGATAGAAACATAAAGTTTGTCAAAAAATACCTCGTATATTTTCTAATTTACCTCGAGTATTACCTCAAAGCCTGACATGTTATATCTGGTTTAAGGTACTATAAAGGCAGAGGTGCTGCGTGTCAACTGGCAACTGCTTGGGACCACAGATTAGTAGGGGGCCCCAAGGATTGACAAACTTTAAACCATAACAGTGGCTCAAAATTTGCAAATTTTGAAATGACAGTAGGAAAACTCCCTAAGGGGGGCCCCATGTGACAGCACTCACTCTGGTTGCCCTGCTAAGTGTTGCATGTATTATTTCTGGGAGAACCAAAGTTTGTTAATGAAAGTAAAGAAATAAAAATGAAGAGAGAGATTATCTGTCTGTAGGAGACACTGGCAGACATGTTGGGGATAAACACTGGTTGGAGGGCAGACAGACTAAACTAAATTGCCAGATTCATGAATGGAGTTTGGCTGGCAGATTGATCGGCCAGGCTCTAAAAAATATATATATAGTATGTAAGGTTTAAATTTGAGGATATACTTCATGTTTTGAGTTGATTTGGCTCAGAGATGATATTTTATGAGACATGTTTGAAGTGCTATCTGAAATTAGGAAATATCATCCCTGCATCATTCTGGTCTGTCTGTTTTTTCTCCATCCAGGTTCGGCCACCTCACTGTCGCCCACATCCTGCTGGAGAACGGGGCAGAGATTAACGGACGTAACCGTCTGGGAGCGAGTGTCCTGACTATGGCGGCCCGTGGGGGACACACTCATGTATTGAAGCTGCTTCTGGAGAGCGGGGCCTACGTTGATGACTACGATCATCTGGCTGTGGCTGCAGACACAGTCTCCAACGGAAACAACAACAACAGCTGCAGGTTTGGACCTAAGCTGTAAACTCCACCTAAAAATCATTCGAATAACATCTTTGGTCTTAAATCCATCCGGCCGTCTCTGTCCTCAGTGGGGGCGGCTTCGGAGCGACTGAAGGCTGTCCAGGAGGAGACGGCAGAGAGTTCATGGACATCATAGCTCTGATGGTGGCAGCTCAGTACGGACACGAGGCCACAGTGCGTCTGCTGCTGGAGTGGGGCTCTGATGTCAACTTCTCCCAGAAGACCACCGGCTGGGGACCTCTGATGGTGGCAACGCTTGGCGGGAAGGTAAAAACAGGACTGTTGCAACAATTAAGCATTTTGATAAATCTGCAGTTCAAAACATTGTAGAGAGCTGTCTCCCCCCCCTCCCCCCCCCTCTAGAGTCCATGCTCACACAGGTCACCATGTGGTGGACACTGAAGCTTCAGTGTTTATCCAGCTCTGCATGGGTCTGTAAACCTTTCTGTGTTCTAACCTCTCTCCATTTTTCAAAAGCATCTCCAATATTGATCCTAGCTTGAGCACGTTTCTGCTCGTGGAGCTTATTAAAAACATGCAGAGGCTTTTTAGGTCGGGTACAATCACTTCTATCTGAACCACTTCTCTTGACTGCTTCCATCGCTGCAACACCTGTTGACCTGATAACTGCTCTCATATCTGACAAACCGAGGGGCGTCCAAAACGGCCGTGTGGGGGTGTCTTAAAAGCGCCTACCTTCTCTGGTCCAAACAAATCCAGAGCATTCAGGAGCAGAATCTAAAGTTAGAAGGAGGACATACTGGCTGCTGCATTGTTGTCAGAGAAGCCAGCACTTCAACATAGCATGTTTCCTTAATGTCTGATCAGATAGTAAGATACCTTTATCATTTCACTCACTACACATCTCACTGATTGATCCTTTAAATTAACGAAGATTGAATACTTTTTAAAACATGTGGCATTTTTTTGTGTTGACAACCTTAATGCAGAGTTATACGTTGGTGGAAAGTTTGTGTCACTGAAATGCCGCCTTTTGTGTGTTTGAAGGTTGCTGTAACTCAGCAGCTTGTGGAGCGAGGAGCTGACCCTGACCGAGTCAACGTCCTGTCCAAGACGCCGTTTGAGCTCGCCATGCAGCTGAAGCAGAGAGACATCAAGGCGTACCTGGACTCCATCACCACCGTCAGACCACAGACAGGTGAGGCTCACCTCTCTGTGTCAAAGTCGAGGAAATACGAGGAGGCTGGAGGAGAAACTCAGGATAAGTCAGAATAAAAACTTTGGCTGTTTGTGTTCACACATGCAGCTCACACCTGCACAGTTTTGTGCAGGTGTGAAAGCTCTATCTGTCTCTTTCTGTGGGTGTGTCTGCACTACTATTAACACTGATGTGAGAGTGAAACCAGCAGTGCTGTTTCTCGGCCTCTTTCATGTCTGCTGCTGTTTCTCACGTTTACTCTGGGTTTAAGCACAACTCAGTCAGAGTGCTGTTTGTTGTACTTAGTCTCTCCAGCCACTGAAGAACAGATGCAAGAAAACCTGAGTCGATAAAAAAGATTGAATGAACCGTCTGGTTCTCCTTTAGTTGTTACTCTGAGCTTAAAGCAGTACGCTGAAGGAGCAGCAGCTTCAGTCTCTTTGCTTCTTAGGTGAAGGCATGCAGGCTGCAGAATCCTGAAAGAAAACATCTACAGTATAAGCTTGTGGGCTGAAAGAGGTCCATGTACTGTTGTCCAGGATTAAAACGAAGGGCTACACAATTAATCAAAGTATTAATGAATTTGCAAACATGTGGCCAAGTGGAAATTTATTAACCACATTTGTTTTTTTCTGGGCGCTGCATCTTTTCTCCGAGCAGTCGCGTACTCTCTACTCGTTGGGAAAGATTGTAAAACAAAGCAGGCACTGAGAGAAAAATGCCAGGTGGACATAAACACTAACTTCCTACCTGTTTATCTGCCACACGTACAGTGAAAAGGACAATAATACAATTAAGCTTAAACTTTCTCCTTCAATATTTTTGTTATTTTTTAAAAGATTTTTTAATTGCCTTTTTTGTGCCTTTATTGGAGCGATAGGAGAGTGGATAGAGTTGGAAATCAGAGAGAGAGAGAGAGAGTGAGGATTGACATGCGGGAAAGGAGCCACAGGTCGGATTCGAACCCGGGCCGCCCGCCTGGAGGACAACAGCCTCCATACATGGGACGCGCGCACTAACAACTTTCACTAAACACAATGTACTGTTTCAGAATAATCCCCTTTTCCAGCTGAGTGTTTGTTTCTGATGGTTCTTCAGTTTCAGATCCGTGCTCTCTCTCTGCCCGGTTTCTTCTTTCCTCTCTCTGTTCACAGTTCTCTGTTTTCAGTGTGAGCCGTGATCTGCACACTGATTATTTACGTAACCCCTCCAAACTAACAGATGATCCTGAGCTATGTGGAGCGTGTCCAAGAGGGACTGTTGTTTCAGAGAACATCAGAACTCTTCTCTGGTCTCACTCTTTTCACTTTTCTCCACAGACGACGAGCGGAGGAGACCCGACGTCTTCAGCGCCCTCAAGTTGGGTGAGTTACATAAAACATTTAACAGTAATGTGTTCCATACAAAAAAGACAACAGAAATCATGATGTATTTGCGTTTCTTCGTGTCGTATATTATAAAAATGTGTGTTTGATGTTTCAGGAAATTCCCAGCTGGTCAAAGAGATCTTGGAGGAGGATCCCACTCAGGTGAATTCGTCCAATCAGGAGGGAGCGACTCCTCTCATGATGGCGGCAGTGAGCGGTCAGTTAGAGGTGGTGCAGCTGATGGTGGAGAAGAAAGCCGACATCGACAAACAAGATGGCGTCCATGGGTGGACGGCTCTAATGCAGGCCACTTATCACGGGTGAGAAGGAGCTGCGGGTGAGACTCTAGATTCCTAAAAGTGGGACCATCGATGAGTTTTTGTTTCTTTTCTTTGTGTTTTTCAGTAATAAAGACATCGTGAAGTATCTGTTAGGTCAGGGGGCGGATGTGAACCTCCGAGCGAAGAACGGATACACAGCCTTTGATTTAGTGATGTTGCTGAATGACCCAGGTACCTCGATTAGTCATACTTCTTCCATTTCAGAAAACACACTCAGACCTTGTTAATGACTTGCTGACTCCTGATTGGCTGCTCCAAAGACACTTTACAATTACAAACTGGACAAACGACTACACGGATCGATGTCGACTCTGCTCATCACTTTTTAAATTATTTTTATTTTTAACTGTAGGCAAACCATACAGTTATATATATAAACAAACCACACTAAGGGCGCACTCACACTAGGCAAAGCTTTCCCGCACCATGCTGACACGATTGCTGGTGACTGTCAGAAGAGATTGTGTTTAACCGGTTTAAAGCTGGGTACACACTACAAGATAAATTGGCAGTTCTGACCAAAGTCAGCAAAGACCGGATTATCTTGTCAGACTCTCCAGTGGTCTGAGGTGTGTTTTAACCTCCCTGGTCTTCTTGGAAGACAATATGGGCCCCCCCAATATGAAATCGTAAATATTAAACATTTTCAATATTTAGGATTAGAAATCCTATCGTGTGTGGGGACAACACCGAGGATGGCCGAGCACTGACTCTGTGGATGGTGACGTAGAACAGAACAATAGCCAATCAGGAAGCAAGCTGACTGAAGCAGGAAGCACAACAAACATCACCACGGCAACAAAAGCAAACGTGAAGCATAAAGTTAGATGGATGTCATAAATTCAATACAAGTGTTTATACAACGTGTCTGACAATCTAACTGACAATCTAACTGACAAGGAGTTGGACCAAAAAGTTTACCGTAATGGATCGACCAGCTAACAGTTTACTCTTTAGTCACGGTTGACGGCGTGAGATGACGAGTTTTGATAGCTCTGGTTGTTGGTGAATGAATCTGAGTGTGTGGCGTGCCGAGTTGGTCGTCTGGTTGCTCTCCAAACATGATAAGATCTGAACTGTTAAATCTGTCAGGATTTCTCGTCATGTGTGGTCTCATATTTTCAAAATAGTTTAAGATTTAAAAAATCTTTTAGCATGTGCCAGGCCACAGTGACCCCATCCGTGTTAAGGGTCTGTGTGTGTGTCTGGATTTCTCTCACAGACACTGAGTTGGTGCGTCTGTTAGCATCCGTTTGTATGCAAGTGGACAAGGACAAGTCGAAACACCGCGGCAGGGCCTTGATGACGCGATCAAAAAGCCGACAATCACTCAACAACGTCCCCGTGCCGCCTGATGACAAGGGAGGCCTGAAGGTGAAAAACGTGAACATTGTTTTTGAACTGCTTCCTCTATAATCCAGACTCTTACGTGTTTGGCTCCTCCCCCTTTCAGTCCTGGTGGAGTCGGATGTCAAATCGGTTCCGCCGGCTGAAGTTGACTCACACCCTGAGACACGGCCTCTCGTCCAACCGCCTCGCTCCGTTTCCTGACGATGCTGAAACCTCATTGGATGCCACAATGAAGGCGGAGAGGAAACCTGCTGCCGGGTCCAACGGGGCGCTCGCACCGAGTCCAGCTCTGGGAGGGAACGACCTCAGCAACGCCTGGGCTGTGAAGAGCAAAGATGCTGGTGAGACAGAGTATGAATGCTGCAGGCTGTAAGACATCAGATGTTTTGGTGAAAGGTCCAGTCAGTGAGATGTGTAGTGAGTGAAATGATGAAGGTATCTTACTATGTGATCAGACATTAAGGAAACATGCTATGTTGAAGTGCTGGCTTCTCTGACAACAATGCAGCAGCCAGTATGTCCTCCTTCTAACTTTCTAAGCTCCTTTGATTGGAGACAGTAGCTTTGTTTACACGAGCAAAATTTGTTTAATCCAATTTAAATAATTCCCATCAAACACTGAATCAGAATTGAACCATTATGACACAGGTAGATCTGTCCTTATTGAACTTGTGAGAAACCGATCTCTGTTTTTTGGTTCATCAGGTATGTGTCCCGTTAATGGGCGTGTGTGTCAATAAAGTTTTTCTCTGGAGTGAGATCCAGTTCCAGCAGAACTCACAGCCCTGCTATGTGTTTATTCTCCGTTATTTCTTTTGGTCTAGTTTCTGATAAACCCGCAGTGTCGCCTGTGCAGATTATCTCCTCCTGTGTTATTTCAAAAAAACAAAAAAACACTGTCGCTGCACATCTCCAGATGTCGTTCCTCCGCTCTACCTCTTGCTGTGTGACAGAGATTTCACTCTCCTCCTCTTTCCCCCTGTGACTTTGGATGTTTGTATTTAACCTTTTTCTTTCTATTAATCTGCGAGCTCAGCAGTACATAATCGCCCTTTGATCAATGAACGGGGAGAGTTCAAGTCTGCAGGACCTTCAGACATGCGCAGTAAGAATAGTTATAGGCAAACCAGGAAGACACGATCAGATCAAGGGTGTCCATGGAAATTGATAAGAACATCAATTGGCACAATCCACGTCTCATTCAGAAGAATTCTTTCTATTTGAGCCAGATCGGATCAGATCGGTAAATCTTTCACATGGAGACATTTGGATCGACAACATTTAAGTAACAAAGGAAAAATTACAATTGTTATTTTTTTTAGATCAAAGAAATTGATGAAATTTTGGATCTTAAATCGTTTTTGTTGAGGTAAAAAGAAATGTGTTTTAAAAAATTTGATAAGATTTTAGAAATCGTGTAAAAACCCTGTGTGATCAGACATTGTTCCTTTTTCAGGTCTTTGCAGGGCGTCCTCGGAAAAGGAAGACTTTCTAATAACGACTATGGTAGGAGGATTTAATTGGATGTAAAAAATATATTGGTTAATGTTTGTGTAATGATTCTGAAGTTAATGATTTAAATCTGTGGGGTCTGTGTGAATCGGGTTGATGGTTATCGTAGTTAGCGTTGTGATTGTTTTCTGTGTTTTCGCCTCCTGTAGCTCAGAAGCGGCGCTCCTTTGACCCGACTGCCCAATGACAAGCTGAAAGCGGTGATCCCTCCGTTCCTTCCTCCGTCCAACTTTGAACCGTGGAACTCAGACCGCTCACGCCTCCTCAGGGAGGGAAAGAGCGAAGCCCCCCGCCTGCCGATGCCCCCCCAGAGGAAACTGAACAGCAGTGGAAACTCGGATATTGTGAGTGCGAGGGAGAGAACGTTTGTATTCAGGGTAAAACGTGTATCTTTGTCATCATCCAAACGTCTTTTGCCCTCTTTTGCCCTCTTTTCCCCTCTGTCTCCTTCCTCTCATAGACATCCATCAGTCGCGTGGTCAGTAGGTCCATTAAGTTTCCCAGCATTCCTAAGGGGCCCTCGTCCTCCTCGCCATCGAACTCTGGACACTACCACTCCCCCCACTCCTCAGGAGGCTCCAACGGAGTCGCTGGGATCAACCGGGACTCCCACAACAGATCAGGTTTACACAAACACAGAAGTGCAAACAAAACCTGAGAAACAAGGTTAACCGAAACGCTAACCTCTAACCACGCTCTTCCACCAGGGGGCAGTGCAGACAGCGTGCTCTCACAGATAGCAGCTCAAAGGAAGCGAGCAGCAGGTCTTATAGATGTGAAGACTCAAACCCCAGAGAAGCAGCAGAGTCAGACACAGAACACACTATCCATCCCCTCCTCAGCCTCCGGCCTGCCGCTGCCTGACATCAGCCTCCCTGACATCCACTCCCACCCCAGCCTGGTGGCCTCCGACCTCCACTCCAGAAGGGTCTGTGTTTCCTTTCTATCATAGCTCTGGTAACTTTAAATGTCTCCTCTCGTGTCACTAAACTGGTGCTTCCTTTTGTTCCTCTGCAGAAGATGGAGCTGAAGAAGAGACCTCAGTCAGGAAACTCCTCCACCTCCAAGAGCACGTCGCCCACTCTCACTCCGTCTCCTTCCCCAACGCCAAAGCCTCCCACTGGGCCGGTAGACTCTCTGTCCTCAGCCTCTTCACATCCTCGCTCCAAAAGCAGCGGGGGCTCCAGCAGTGGGACCATAACTGATGAAGGTGAAACTAAAGACATTATTCTGCACATGCACTAACTCCACATTTATGCAGCTTATTTATTCAGGAAACAACTTACAACTTAAATCATACACTGAGCTCCTGGTAGATGTAAAGTCCTCCGTAAAATACGGTTGTCATGATGATCAATTAGGAAGTGGGGAAAACCTTGACGATGAGGAAGAGCAGCGGGTTTTACCGCTGTTTGGTGTCGATTTAATTACTCATAAATGTAAGATGACATAGTTTTGTACTCCTGCTTTAGTTTTCCATGAGCCGAGATTATTTAATAATAGCAGACTGTTAAATGACCTTAAATTGTAGTTGAAGATTTCACCACTAGATGTCACTGTTGTTATTGGACACTAGCTGTAGCTGAAGCTGTAGGCTTTAGTTCTCACCTCATCATGATGCTTTGTCATATCGTACAAACATTAGAGTTTGTAGATGAACGTCGGAAGATAGAAGTTATTTTAGCGGTTAGTCTGTTCAGAGATGATCAGACACGAGAGGAAACAAACACTGCAGGAAGAAAAATGCTGCTCACTGATTGGTCACATCAAGTTCAAATGACATTTTCGACACTATACTTTAGTTAGTTTGAACCACTCACGTATATGACCTATGTGTAATGTTGCAATATTTGTTAATTTGTTCTTACGGTTCTGATCTTTCTTTCTTTTTTAACAAATGTACAGTGTCTTTGAGGTTCTGAAAAGCGCTATTCTTATTAGTATACTGAATGTTGTTCTCATGTTTTTTTAGATGAGCTTTCTGGTATCTTGAAGAAACTGTCATTGGAGAAATACCAGCCAATCTTTGAGGAGCAGGAGGTAATCTTTGATATTTACTTCAAATTAATGTGAAATCTGTCTTTTATGTTAAAGAGAAGTTTCTTTAATGTTCTATTCTGTTCATTCCTTTATTTAAAATACAACACTGTGCGGTTTGTTTGATTCTGTTTTCTCCTCCTTTAGGTCGATATGGAGGCTTTTCTGACTCTAACAGACGGAGACCTGAAGGAGCTCGGCATTAAAACAGACGGACCCCGACAACAGATCCTCGCGGCGATATCCGAGCTCAACGCTGGAAAGGTGTGTTTGGTGAATCGTGTATGATACGTCATGGTAGTTAGCATGAATTTGGTGTTTCCAGAGAATGTGGGGCTTAAAGGCAGGGTTGGTCATTTCCTCCAGATCCACTTTTTTAGATTTTGGTGTAAATTGTCTTTAGGTCCTGACAGAAATTAATAACTCATGTTCTCTGTAAAAGGAACAAAGAAAATCCATCATCTGTATCAGTTTGTAAGTCTGTAAAAACTTCAACCAATGTCTGCCACGAGGTACCAATCTGATGAACCAATCAGAGGCCTCCCAGTCTCCCTGCTTGCTCTCTACCTCTTGCGTGCTCTAGCTCACACTCAAAGAGCGTCACCGATGACTTTAGGAGTTTATACTGTGAGTTTACTTACCGCTGAATGAGACCTGAGACGACGTAGTTTCTACACAATGTAAGAGATGAGCTGAGGTCCACTTCTGGAGGGACTCCGCTCTGTATGTAAGTGGCTTATGAGGGAGCACAGAGGGGAGGGGATGGTTGCAGACGGAGCACTGAGGGAATGCTACTTTCAAAATCATGCTAGTTTTAGAAATTGACCAACCCTGCCTTTAAGTCCTGTAAATGTATTTCACTGTTAGCTACCTCTATGTCTTTAAACGATGTAAACATTGCCATCAGAGACAGGAAGAATCTCTCTGAGCCAGGATGGAAACGGCTAAAAGGAATAAATATCAGAAACCAGAGGAAGGAATATATGAAACTACAGTTAGAGCATCTACTTGAGCATTGTTTGCATTTATCAGGGACGAGAGCGGCAGATCCTTCAGGAGACCATTCATAACTTCCAGTCTTCCTTCGGCAGCAGCGCCAGTAACCCACGGCAACCAGGTGAACCTCGCTGTGAGTATCAAAGGTTAAAGCTCAGCAGTAGTTCACACTACACATCATCACAATCTGTATCTGATTACCTTCTCTCCACCGGTCTTCCTCAGCACCAACAGGTTGGATGAGACAAGATCAGGTGCGATCAGCAAACAAAAGGTAGCCTGGCAGCCCCGATTGAAAAACCAGGAAGTCCACCAAAGGTACCTAGAGTAAGGATAAAGTGCAGGTGACCTATAGTCAAGGCACCAATGACATGGAGTCTTCTGGACGCCAGTGTCCCAGACTGCTGACCGAGTTAGTGCAAGAGGACGCTGCATCAAAACGACCACCAGACCCAGAAAACCCGACTTAAAGGACCCTCCAGGACTGACTCGTGTTAGTTTTATGGATCGTAAAGCAGAGGAGGCGTGACCGGGTCGGCAGAGTCCAGAGCTGTCGGATAAAGCATGTGACGTGTGACACATTATATTTGTTGCCGTGGTGATCAGGTTCATGGGTGACACACACAGAGACTGAAAGGAAGAGAAAGATGAGCGGAGCGCTGGAGTGCAGGGAACGTTTTTTTTACATTTATCTGAACAGATGTGAGAGGTAGAGCAGATGTTTACAACTGCATGGATCCGTGAAGTAGTTAGTATCATATTCTGTGTTGCACAAATATTTAGTTTAATCTGAACTATGACTCAAAACACAATTCATGAAATGAAACAAACAAAATGACAGATTGAGGCAGCGGGAGACGACCAAGTTTGAAATGATACATTCATTGTTTCTGCCGCTGGCTTTTAAGAAAGTGATCAAACAACTGATTCTGTCCAGTGATCTTTGTTATTAGACTACAATCTGAGCCATGTCCTAGGCTGCATCAAGCCTTTTTAAAAGACACACATGTTAGGGAGTATTTCCCCCTAAAGGATCATGTTACAGCCTGTTCAGCAGCTGCAGACTGAAAAAAGAATCTACAGCTGTGGCTAACACAAACTGAATATGTACATATCAGTCATGTAGACATCCAATTATTTAGTAACAGAGCCCAGGTGTGAAGACAAGAGAGTTGATGAGAGAAGTCGAAACGTCACTTACAGCTCGCCAAAGTGACCACGCCCCCTTTTGGGTAAAAACAAGCCCTGAGAATGTATCTGCGGTGGATTAGAGCACACTGGTAGCAGCATGATGAAATGCTATTACAAAGCTATTTGTACTTAAAACTATTTACAAAATGCTTTTTTATCTACAGAGACAAATGAGAGAGAAGAGGTCTTTGTGTTGTGGCTGAAACTAGAGGATTAGGCCTCGTGTCCACCTGGTGTTTTTTTCTGAGCGCCAGCGTCTTTTTTCAGTTGTTCTCTGGAGAGAGCGTTTGGGCAGCTCCCTGTTCACAAAAGTCTCCCAAACAGTCGTTAAACAAGTTTTTCTTATTCTAACCTTTTAAATCTCGAAAGAGGTCTTTTCCATTTACAGCCATTCATTTTAGGTTTAACTTTTTCGCCCAGAAAGGGGCGGGGCCAGCGTTGTTCGGAAAAGCACCCTGATGGGTTGCTTTCGTCAATTTCCTGTTAAGTCAGGAGAATAGAGGAGAGAGAGGAATCATGTTGAGACGAGTTAAAAGTTGCACTGATGAGTGAAGGAGAGAAAATGTGATTTTAGCAGTAGATGATGTTTGACTCTTTCTCTGGTGTGTCCGTGTCTTCTCTCTGTGCAGAGCTGTCCTGAGTCAATAAATGATAATATGATGATGATGATGATGATGCATTACTTCATGTTTTTGAAATGTCTTATTGGATTTGGGATGAGAAAGAAATTGGCAAAAACATTTTGAGCAGCTTAGATTCAGTTTAAAGGCTCTGCATTGGGCAATAGTTTCCACTGAGCCTGTTCTTTGTTTGTGTCACGGCAGACTGATGGAGCACTTTATCATTCCTGAATAAAATATCACATACAAACGCTCTAAACCTGAAACCTGAAGGACGAGTTGAGGAGTCTGCAGATGGATCAGAGACGAAAACACAACCTCTTTATTCATGAACCGTGTTGATGAAAGAAGGAATCTGGATGATGAACAAATAAAAAAAAAACAGAAATAATGGGGCGCCGGTAGCATAGAGGTTGGTGTGTCACATCTGATGTGATGCCACCTTCTCTCCACTAGATGGTGATGAACTTCTTTGGATGAGTGTTGATGCTGCTGCTGTAGCATCACATTCAGGCAGAACTATATTAAGAAATGTAAAGATGCTCTCTCACCAATGAAAGTTACATTAATGTGCAAAACAACTTGAAGGACCTTCAAAGTAAAATCCAGTGCATGAGACAAACATTTGATACCTGCTATTCCATCTAAAAGTTGTCTGCGTCTAATATTCCAGATTTCATGGTAACTATGGTCATTTTAGCACACACACCGGTTTGGCTGCTGCTAAAATAATAATGATAATTTACCTTATACATTCATCTTACAACACAAAACACAGAAGACTTTCATATTCAGATTAAATCTGGAAAGGCTCTGATGCATCGGGCCTTCACTGGAACCAACCTGTCTCATAAATGTTCAGCATCAGTTTTGAAACAGTCAAACCTCCTGCTCCATTATCTCAGGTTTCATGGCTACGTGTAAAGTTCTGTGAGGTCAGATATATAACAGACAGCCTCACCTGGTCTGATGTGAGCAGGAGCTAACGGTGGCTATTGTGAGTTAACCTGAACTGAGAGGGTTTTCACTCTGAAACGTCCCATTGACTCGAGGTGAATTATCCGGAGAATATCCTGCAGCGTTTTCACATCAGCTCACTCAGACTCACTGCTAAAAATACTAATGGTGTGTCAGGAGAAACTCCGGGTGAAGTCTGAGAGCAAAATTTGTCTGTTTGCGTTCACACATGCAGCTCCGGCAAATATCAGGAGTTTTTCAGGAGTTTCTGCAAGTTTGAAAGCACTATAAATAAGTCAGATGACCTCTGAACTCTTGCCTATTTGTGCTATTTTATTTCTACATTTAGCATTATTCCGCTTTAAGAGAACTGGAAGATGTTTTCATGCCACCTGTTATTTTTGTCAGTTCTTTTAAAGAGACGGTGGAAAAGTTGGTGGCCGAGAAGGACAGTGTAACAGAGGACAAAATAAGTGAAAAAACTTTGAACGAATGTCACTTATTATCCTTAGAAAAATGAATAAATAAATCATTGCACTCATTAACAGATGGGATTGGGACAGTCGCATAACTTCTTTCACATATTTTGTAGAGCTGACAGACGTGCTGGGGATTCCTCTTACTGTAAAGTCTGATAATGTGTGACGCCCCCCCCCCCCCCAAGCCAATTCTTGTGCTGTGTGCAAATCTCATCTTTGAGAAAACACATTAGAAGACTGACAGAGCCGCCGTCTTGACAATTTAGAGAAGTGTGGAGTCAGTGTGTGTGTGCCAGTGAAAACAGCAGCTAGTTAGATATTGGACCGTGTTCGACTTCCAGACGTTATGATGACACAAAATCCTCCTCGCAAATGTTAATGTGAGATTTATGGTGATCCTCGAGAAGCGTCTCTCCCTCCAGCGGTTGACATAAAGCACTTCCATCAGTCTGCACAGGGAAGCTCAAACATGCATATTAAGTAACAACAAGAGAAGGACATTTTAGACCAGAGAGGGTCTTTAGAGAAACACATGCTCCGTGTTTACACCACAGTCCTCCATGGCTGCATGTGAGCGAGATGACCTGGAAAATGTGTTTGTTAAAAAAGACAAATGTTTTCAACCCCTCGCACCAAAGTTCAGAAACACTGACCCTCCCCCCCAAACACGACCAAATAGCAACACAGCACGGCGTTGTTGAAACGGTTATTGATGACCTGGATGAGGAGCGGGGCCGACAGGCAGGCGACAGGGTTCCTGTAGAGTTTAATGAAAAGCATCACTCAGTGCAGGAAAAGCTCGGCTCTGCAGACGCTGTGGCAGATTGAGTGCTCAGATCTTCAGCCTCATGTTAGAAAACGTTGCAGAGACGAATACATTTGGAATATATTATCATCGCTGTGGCATGTGGGCAGCAAATGGAGTGACTCATTCAATTTCCTCCTAATTGATTTCCCTCACAGAAGGTTTTGATGGATGGAATAATAATGATACTGTTTGTTTCTGTCAACACAGAAGTCCTGTCGTAGTAAGACACATCATGGTGACTCAGAGATAATGAATAAATTATTTTCTCCAACTCTCAAGTCCATGCAGCTTTAGACGCCTCGTGGGCTCTAAGTGGTCGCCTGTCTGCGGTGAGATCAGCTGACTGGGGGAACCTGAGTCTGTCTGGGTTCAGATCCATGGGAGGGATTCATTCAAGTGCCAGTTTTCCGATCTTTATTCCCCATGTGCTCCCTGACTACAGAACATGCTGTTAGCCTCAAGAGGACGGCTGTGTTGGGGAAAGAATTTGTCGAAAAATCACGACACGGATTTTATTCAATATATGTAAAATCAATTAAATCTGGCAAAGCAGTAATTATCTTGATACTACTGTTAGAATTAAACAATTAAATTAAATCTTACTACAATACAGGAGTTACATTTCACTCTTACATGTCTTGTATCTGGTGGAAGGATTGAGGAGAGATGAACTGATCGGGTCGACACTCTAAACCGATGTTTAAGTTTTCTCAGTTCTTTGTATTTCTTCTTGTCTGTTTTTCAGAAAGAAAGAAAAATGCGAAATGCAAACATCATCACCCCCGTCCACTCGCTCACAGGATATTCTATTTCCTGCTGCGTTCACACATCGGCTCAACCCGACTTCACAGGGTGATCTTATCAGGAGGGGCGGCAGGAGAAAGTCGAGGGGAAAAATGTGTCCATTTGCATTCACACATGAAGCTCAGTCTGAAAACCTTCTGAACCATTTCTGGAGTTTTGTATAAAAACACCATAAATAAACACCATGTGCCTGGTTTCTCAAGATCATTTAACTAAAGTAAAATTTTAAAAATCAGTCAATTTTTAAAGATATCGCATCCATTTCCAAAGAAGCAAAAAGATCCCAGAACAAGAAAGAATGTGAGGTATCCATCCTCTTTAGTCAGAAGTATCCTTCTGTGAAATTAAAGATTTTAGGATGTAAGCGCTAAACTTGAGTTGAGAACTGTGTTGTGACAACGCTGATTTCTGTCAGGTGTGTGAATAGATTTAAAGTTGCAGTGTGACGTGTCAGCTGGGAGATATTTTTCTCAGATTTTTTGGTGTCTTCTCTGAAAGCTCGGGTGCTGTTACCATGAAATTCACTTTGTGGCCATTGGCCTCTGGCTGTACAAGCTGGCGCGGTTTTCACATGTACATAACCTAGGGCAATGGCTTTACTGCTGTGTGTGTGTGTGTGTGTGTGTGTGTGTGTGTGTGTGTGTGTGTGTGTGTGTGTGTGTGTGTGTGTGTGTGTGTGTGTGTGTGTGTGTGTGTGTGTGTGTGTGTGTGTGTGTGTGTGTGTGTGTGTGTGTGTGTGTGTGTGTGATGCCTAGTAATGCTCAGACTCTGTGATTTAGTGGGGAGCAGGGATTGCAGAATTGAGCCCTCTGGAGCTTTTCTCTCCGAGTGCACAGACCACATATTTCACACTCTCTCTCTCTTGGTGTATCTCTAACCCACTTTGCTCACTGCAGACCCCTCATCCATCAAACTCTATGAGCTTTAAACAGCTGTTAATTAAAGCCAAAGCAGCCTGTCCAACTATCATAACCTTGTGTATTGTTTGTACAAATGATGTCCAAACAAACAGTCGCTGCCTGATCTCACCACTGTCGACATTCATCCTCGCTCAAGTGACTCAGTCGCTCATTTCCCAGCATCCTTGGGGTTACACAACACCGTAGCCCTTTCGCTGCCTCCACATAACCACAGCAGTTTACAGAGAGGATGATGGAAACATGGGAGGAGGACAAACTCCACCTGACCTGTGAGTAAATCCAAATGTCAACAAAGGATTATCCTAACAGAGTCCTGAAACACAATTTTCCATCTCAAAGTGATTGCCAGAGTTTTGGATGCTCGGATGCATCAAAATGTGACAACAAAACATGAGATTGAGGTTTTTGTTGTTGTTGCATTTGGATGCTTTGGGTAAAACTAGCAGGATTCTCATCTGCAGGTCCTGAAACGTCTGAAACATTTGGTCTGTGTGATTCATTTCACATTAAACAGAGCATGCAAACTCTGTAAATATTTGAGAAGAGGTTCATGAGTGTGTTCTTTTTTAAACATGGGACTTTTAGTTTGGGGTCTTTGGCCGTTTGCGTTCACACATGCAGCTCACTACAGTTTTGTGTAAGTGTGAATGCACTATTGGTGTAACACACGACCCCAGCACCTACTTTGAATCAGGCACATGACAGCTTGTATCCCTGAACTCAGCTGAACAGGTCAGGACGAATTCCAAAACATTTGTCGTCATTAAGTCCCTAAAATCTAGAGAAATAGGGCCTAAAGTCGTGAGATCCAGAGTAACATCAGCACTTCAAAGTCTCATAGTGATCATGTTCTGTTTGCAAACTCCTAAATTCATCATCTAATTTGTTCCTGGATTGAACTTTTGTGGTCGGGTGAGATCAGAGCCGAGTGATCCCTCGTCCCCAATAAAAACAATCCCTTCGAATGTGGTGTTAAACACTTCAGGGTCACTGTGTCGATGGTCGCTCCAGCACTCGTGAAAGTGGATGAATTGCACGAGCAGTTGCTCTACTGTATGACTGAACATGTGTATGTGAACATGCATGGTCACAGTACTTCCTGCTCGGCCTCAGACGGCCTACTGAACTGGTGTTCTCTGTGCTGTCATGGATTATATGTAGGCTCCGTATATCCTGACATCATCATTCCTGCTTAACGACCACACCAGTAAAGACAATGATCATGAGATCAGTGTTGTCACCTCTGTTGACTTTAAAAATGAACAATTTCACCTCCACCAGATCTTCTTGAATAGTTTTCTCTCGTATTCACGTAGTTTCTGATCTACGTATCTGTGCACAAAGAGAAGGCTGTCAGCTGAGCGATGAAGCCATCTCTCCATCAATCGACCGTCCCATCAATAATAAATGTCCATTAGAATCAGACATGTCACGGCTCTACACACTGACGTCTTAATCAATGAAAACCACATCAATGCACCTGGCAGATGGCTGTCGGTAAGTCCTACTGTGGTCATTATTATGAAATGTGTATTAGGCTGCACGCACACACACGCTGTTAACACACAAACACAAGTGGACATGGACATGGGAATGCACTCACTCACACATACATGGTTGCGTGCTAAGGTCTGCCCCCGCAGAGTTAGCACGGCTTTAAGCCCGGGCTAATCTGGACGGCAGCTTGGATAGGGTTTCTGGTGGATTTGCATTGATACCAAAGCTCCCCGTGGCTTTAATGGCAGCCACTGACGGTGTTAACGGGACCCCAGGACCTCTGCAGATCCTCAACTCCACCTGTCACAACAAACAAAACATCACCCCTGATGGAGGCTTTTATGCTTGGACTTAATCTTATTGGTGGATTTAATTTAAGGCGGTGGAGCCACACCGCAGCTCCATGCTGTCTTTATAAGAAATACAAGATATTAACTGTATGTGACAACTTAGTCAAAGCCATTTATAATCAACCAGGTTAAATCTATAATTAGATAAATTACATAATCGGATATGTTCAGACCTTGATGAGAATTATAATAGTCTTTAGTCAGCTGTATTAGACCTGTGTATTGAGTTTATGTTGTTGATTTTATACATCCTGACTAGATTAATATAGCGAGTAAAACATTATGCAGACACTTTTATCACTCAAACCCCCTTTCTTCCATCTGTAGGTGTACGTTTGTGCGATCACGTGTAACACATCACCTGAGGATCCTCCTCTACTATGTCATCTTTATTTAAAGAAGTGGAAGAAGTGAATCCCAACCATAAGCCTGCATGATTAAGTACACATAAATACACAATAAGCATGTGTGCATGCTGGGGGAACACTTGGCTGCTTGTAGTGAGTGGATTTGAACACTAGGGTGCAGTACAGTAAACTGCCATACACACTGTCAAACTGCAGATATTCTCACTATTTCTGTTGCAGCAATGACAAGACACAGTGTAGAGAAGTGGTGTACTTTATTAGGGTTAAATTGTGCAAAAACCTTACAAACATAATTTAAAAAATACAATAAAACCACAGAGATTAACATGTTTGATAGTTAGGCATTTGGTTCAAAATATTATCTATGAATCATATTTTATTCCTTCCTTATAAGACATACCTTGCATTCTTGAATTAAAACATTGTGCGTTAAGTAGGATCATATGAGCCAGGTAAAAGGATAGTGATTATCTTTATGCTTTTTTAACCTATTTTACAGGTGTTTACAGCTGCAGAGGTTGGTTTTAATGCAAAGATAACTTGGATATAAGGGCTTACACTTTGCAGCAACTGGTCTGGTATATGAGAGACTTGCATATCACAACATTGAACAGCCTCAATGTGAGGAAACTTCTATTAAATGGCTAATAAATAGACTTTATGGCATATAAATATAAATTTGATAAAAAACAATCAATGCAGCACAGACACTTTATATGCCCTGTTTAAGTCACTGTTATCTTAGATCAGACTATTTAAATATTTAATTGTACAAGCTACATTATATCTCAACAACCAGACTGTTAAAGGTTTAATTTGATGGGGAAAAAAGCCTAATTCTCAATAATAATGCAATTTAATTAGAACAAATGGAGATTTCGACTAAAATAAAATAATAATACAAACATATTTTGAAAAAATTAAATTCGGTTTTATAAAACCAGATTGCCGCCTCACTTCCGGTTCTCACATTCAAAATAAAGCCGAGAACTGGAACAAAAACGCTGTTGTACATTAATTAAATTTAACAAATGTATTAAACGATTTCGTTTTATCATTTTCAATAAACAGTAAAGTCTGCTTGAAGCATATTCTAGACCAAATAAAATATTAAGCTCGCAGAATGACATTCATTTTTACACAATACTTCAGAAAAGAGGATATTTATGACGTGAATTAGTCCTGTCACACTCACAGCAGCTTTAAAATTTATTCCAGACACTGAAGAGATGAATCCCAATACATTTCTTACATTAAACCCATGAATTATTTATATTTTTTTGCTTTGAAAGTAATAACATTTTCGCAGTTTTTACGGAGCGCGTGAAGCAGCTTCTAAATATTTCCCGCCGAGCCAGCTTGGTTTCCATAGTTACATCCACTGAGTTCATTAAAAAATAAGCTAACTCCCGTCCTGCGCGGTGTTATACTCAAGATAAGTTCGTAATTTTTCGGTTAACGGGTTGTTGTAACGAGCCCCTCCGGTCCGTGAGCTCCGTCGGCCGCGAGCAGCCTCGGTGTGTGAACGCGGAGATCTGTGCCTCAGCTGCCCTTCGCGTGTGATCCCTCCCCTCCATAGACTGTAAATATTACCCTCCCCTCCATAGTTCCCCTCACGATGCGCGGCTGCAGGCTCGGGTCGGGCTGGGCTACTGCTGCTTTCACGTACGCCTCGTAAATACCACTATTCATCACTCATTTATCGAAGAAAAAATAATTTAAAGTCGATTTTAAAAACAGCTGTAACAGGTATGGGACGCTAAGACAATCATTACTTATTTAAGTTTTTCAATTATATTATTTTATTTATTATTTTCCATAATAGCGGACGCTTCTAAAATTAAAACGTATAAAGTGGTAGCATCAAAACAGAGACAAATTCCTTTCATTTCTTGAGCTGGGCTTATCAATTTACTCAAACATTTAACAATAATAATTATTATGTTATGTATTGTTTACATTTAGGTCAATATCGTATGGAAAATAATTACACATATAGAACACACGCAGTCATGTGTAAATTGAAAGACCGTTATTTAAAAAAACAGAAAGGCCTTGAAAGCAACATCGACTAAGCCGTGTGTGTGTGTGTGTGTGTGTGTGTGTGTGTGTGTGTGTGTGTGTGTGTGTGTGTGTGTGTGTGTGTGTGCGCTCTCCGCTGTTTGTGAGGCACAGAGTTGCGTGCGAAGAGCTCGACATGTCATTCAGAGGAATCCGCCACCTGAAACGCGAGGAAGTGAAGGCGACTCAATTGGGTATAAAGCATCAGCCAACATCTGCCCCGAGCAGTGCAAAGCTGATGAAAACATCAGCTCGGAGCTCGTACAGGACCTCTGCGCTTTATTTTATTCTCTGTTTTAATCTCTCCTCTTGGATTTATCATTTGGTTTCACCGAGCCGGTGCACCCGGGGAGACTCATCTCTTTTTGTGCAACTTCACACAAGAGTGTCTCCACACACAGCACTATACTGGAATTAACTCGTACCCACCGAGATTTCGGGTCAGTGTTTTTTTATTATTTCACGTTTTGTTTGTTAAATTAATTGCATTATTATTTACAGGAATGTAGCACACTAAAAATATTGATCAGAGAAGATGCATCATGCAGCCTTTGAACTTTTTATTTTATTTTGAGGCTTTGCGTTTAATCTGAATATTTCACTAAATCACATGTTGATTTGTTTGCATTCTTAGTGCAGCCTAATAAGGGTTATTTCACTTTACTGTTTGGGGTGGCATGACGTGCAGCGACCAGTGTGGACATGTTTTAGGTATAAAGTTTTGTGTCATTAAAGTGAACGTGTGTGTGTCTCCCCCGCAGGAGCGCACCTGTTACCTCCACGGAGAGCAGGATCATGATCCCTCCGGGAGACTGCATGTATGCGGGCAGGAAGAGGAGGAAGCCCATCCAAAAACAGTTAAGAAGCTGCTCATTATTTCTGTTCAATCATGTTTTATCATGCATGTTGATTAATAATATGCAGGGGAAACCTCACTCTCAAACTTTCATTAAAGATATTGCTAAAATTATAATTTACAATCACAGAAAGTTCTGACTGACAGCAGCATGAAGGAGTTTAAAATAAAGTCCAGTTTTAACAGAAATAAATGTCGCTGTAATTAAATTAATATTATCACAAATGTAGCTTTGAATTTTTTGTTTACAAAATGAAAAACTATAAATATTGTTCATGATCTTCTATAAAATAGTTTATACGCCCTCATCTTAAAGCAGGATTATTTGCAGTGAGTTTATAACCAGCACACAGTTGTTGTTGTTGTTGTTGTTTACTTTTTGTTGACTTTGCAAATGTGTGTGTGTGTGTTTACAGTCAGAGATTACAGAGTGTGTGTTTTACACTGTTTCAGGCGTCTATGCTTTAAGTTTCAGAGGGTGAGGGTGTTTTTTGGGACAGTCTTGTCAGCTGATGTGATGAATAATAAATGGTTGAGGAGGTTATGTAAGATTTTAGGAGGAGGTGGTTCTAATTTAACTAGCTCTGTGGCATTTATAAAGTTTTCATGTTTGTATGTTTGCGGCTGATCTGGGAGGAAGTCTTTGCAGCATCAAACTCTGTATGTGCACTGATCGGGGATATGGGATATTGTTTTTTAAGACACGAGACATTTCAGGACTTAAATTAATAATTATGAGGCTCCTTTATAGATTGCTTCTCCATTTTTATCTTGAGTGTTTAAATGGATGTTTTGCAAAATTTAGATCTTTGCTTCAGTTGCAGAAGAAGTAAAGTTTAGACCTGCAGAAATCTGAGCAACGTGGATTCTTTTATTGATTCTTCAAACTAGCAGATCAAATTTTGAGTCCATAAGCACAAAACAAAAGTGTCCTCGATGGACAGAAGCTCTCAGCTGTGGGAACATGAGCTGATCGTTACATGTACGGATCATGTTAAGTTCAGCTGACAAGCGACTCATTAAAACACACAAATAACTCTGAACATCAGGGGCCGTTTATGGTTGTTCAGAACGCTCAGAAAATATCTGAACAAAATGTCAAATAACTCTTCTAACAAGTCTGTGAGCCACAGAGGATCTCTGTAAATACACACATATCATTTTATATTTTTCATAATGTTTCAAAGTGTGGAGAGATGTTTGTCAGGTGCTGAAACTTGATCATTTTCTTATTATAAAGGAATGAAATAAAGAGACTTGTTATTGTCGGACATGAAGAATCAGTGTGGTGCGTGGCGTTCACTTTAATCTGTAGAGATGACTCTTTATTCGGTCATATGTCTCAGTGTGGGTTTCCAAAGTGAGCACGAGTCCTATAAAAACATGATCAATTCGTAATAAATGTTCATCAACATGACAGGCAACTGTTTGGAAACTTTTTCAGAAAACAAAATCAAACCAGGACGAACATTTTGTCCTTTTTTTATTTTAATTATGCATCAGGCGTTCCACCCCAGAAAGGAAAGTTATTAAAAGAAGAGGTGTGAAAGAGGATTTTTTTAATGTAGTTTGTTGAAATGTGCACATTTAGTACAAAGATAAAACACAAGCTCTGCTACGTTAGCTCAAACATGAAGGAAAGATAAGATTTCTCTCGTCATCTATTTTGAACTTTAAAGTGAAATGTTACAACTATGAAAATAATCACACTTTTTACATCATGTCAGTTAAATTTTTTATAAAACCAGAAGAGCACCAAACTTTACAGAGGCTGGAGAGTTTTTAGTTTATTGTGTTGTTGCACTGACGTCCCAAAACCCTGAGCGCCTCTGATCTGCTGGACTTCGACCGGACAGAAAAGTTTAATACCCTATGTCTCCACCTTTAAAATTTAGTCCCAATTTTATGTAAGATTTATGGATTAAAGTTTCAAATGATTGAGAGAATTGTCGTATGAGAGCTGACTCTGTAAGCTGTAGAAGAAGTTTTGTGTCTTGTTCTTTTGATGACTTTTAAACTGAGTTAATAAATCCTCGTCTGCGTGCAGCTGTCGCTAACTGCCTGCTGAGGTGGTCAGATGTGTGTGAATGATGACGCTGAGATCTTTCATCTGAAATAATGCTTATTTGACTTCTGATTATCTTGAGTCCGTCCACACAAACCCCTGTGTGTGTGTGTGTGTGTGTGTGTGTGTGTGTGTGTGTGTGTGTGTGTGTGTGTGTGTGTGTGTGTGTGTGTGTGTGTGTGTGTGTGTGTGTGTGTGTGTGTGTGTGTGTGTGTGTGTGTGTGTGTGTGTGTGTCGTTATCAGAAAGCCATCCTCTGCCAATGAGAAAACCAACCCGTCCAAGCGGCACAGAGACAGGCTGAACGCCGAGCTGGACCGGCTGGCCAGCCTGCTGCCGTTCCCCCCGGACGTCATCTCCAAGCTGGACAAGCTGTCCGTGCTGCGTCTTGCCGTGTCCTACCTCCGCGTCAAGAGTTTCTTCCAAGGTAAGAAAAACAAACAAATCTAGCTCCAAATTTAGACTCCCAGCCTGAGGTAGAAAAAAGGTGGAGAGGTGGTGTTTGTAGTGGCAGGTGGAGGAGCTTTGCTTTGCTGTGTGTGTGTGTGTGTGTGTGTGTGTGTGTGTGTGTGTGTGTGTGTGTGTGTGTGTGTGTGTGTGTGTGTGTGTGTGTGTGTGTGTGTGTGTGTGTGTGTGTGTGTGTGTGTGTGTGTGTGTGTGTGTGTATCTGCTGCTGTAAACCTGCACACACGCTCACAGCTACTTCATCACAAACACCTTCACCCTCCTACATTAGCTCTGCTGTGCTTTTACTCCTTGTTTACTGTTCAGGCCAATGAGGAGGACGCGGGTGTTCATGTGTGTTCAATCCAAAGATGCTCTCATACTTTGCCCCCTTCATGTATTTAAATTGTCTTTTTTTAGTTAAATGAACCCAAACATAGTCTTCTTCAGATACTTACATGATTATACAAGCCTGTCCCACATGTAAGGCCTAAAGACAGGATGCTTCACAAATCTCTCTTTATTGACATCGTCAGTGATGGTGATACTAATATTTCACAGATAAGTTATCTTGTAGTGAATCTTGTGTGCAAACTTTGGGACTTGATTTGTCCACGTCGTGTGCTGAGATGATGTGTGACGGTCAGAGACTAAGAAGTAGCTGAAGCAGCAAAAAGCTTTGTCTCTGATGCTTCTATCTTTTTATCATCTGTCAGTCAGGGGGAACAGGGGGAACACTGCTCTAATCGAGCCTTAAACTGACACGTGGTCACTGGTGAGAAGAAGACAGCACGATGAATGACAGGAGAATCTCTCATAAGTTTCTGGTGACGTCATTCGCTCTAAACGCAGACGGCAGAGAGTGCATCTTCGAGCTTTCTCATTCTCTTGTGTTGCAGCCTTTTTCATTCTGGGATTATCTTTTTTTATAGTGTACAAATATTCATTGTTTCTTGTTGTCTATTAGCATGCTCAGTAGTTCTTTGTTAGTCATTATCTAAGTAATCCAGGACAGAGTGAGAGCAGGCCGGTGACTACGTTGTGTTTCCTGCAGTAATAAAATTTCTCCTCGATTATTGTCCACCTTTATTTGCTCTGCCCTGTTCGCTGTTTAGCTTTTAAGTTTGAAGCAGAAATATAAATCAGTGAAAAAAAAACTAAACCAAAAATACATTTGTGTCAGGTTTATGGAGGAGGAGAGGTTGTTTTATTCTGTCACACTGGGTGGATATAAGGACTGTTATTTATTTATTTCAGGTGATAAATAAAGAGGGGGATACATGTTTGTGTTTTAGTTGTAAATAAATCTGAGAATTTGTTTGAATAATTTAAGAATGAATAAAAGAAAAGTTAGAAGCAATATAGGGGATATATGAGTTTTACTTCTACCCTTTCCCCTTAAGACATGTGTTACTCTAGTTTTGTTTCTTTTTTAATTTTTTTAATTTAGAAAAATAGTCATTCATTCATAAGTCACAAACTGAGTAGAACATCTTCACATCACACTTTGCGTCTTTACAGCTACGTCTTTATGTATTCCTGGTATCAGGAGCGGCCTGGTTGTAGAATATATTCATGCAGAATAAGACGTTCATAAAGAGCCTGCATTCTTCTAACTAACTACTTCTTGGGGAAAGTGTGGTCTCTATTCTTCAAGTGGTGGCATGTTAATAATGAAAGGTTTCTAAATGTATCGAGGATGATTTGTGGAAGTATCAGTGAACACATCACCATAGATACGAGGTGTTATTCGTCTGTTCGTCCCCATCATCCTGCCGTGTGTTGTCATCACATTTAATTAAGAGCCACAATGAAGCCCACGCTTGTTTTCCCACCCTCCCACCATCCCCTGAATGCCTCCCTTCCTCTCCTTGCGTTGCTCCACAGTCAAATATTCATGGCTCACTTTAGAGCGTGTGTGGTAGGCGGCTGCTTCTCTCGGGACAGAGATTAGTGGCACAGCTGGAAAGACAAGGTGAAGTTTCTTTATGTTATCTGAAGGAGAATGAGCAGCTTCCGTTTGTCTCTGGAGTGAAAAGTGTGTAAGTGTAGTGAGGATGAGGTGAGAGAAGGAGGCAGAACGCTCACTGCCTCCCTCGTCCTCGTGTCTGGCAGAAACTCCTCATGCAAAGCGGTTTTCTCAGAAAAGTTTGCGAGGGATTTGTGAGTCTCTGACTGACTCAAAAGTTTTGCAGACTTCTCCTTCTGGACACATGGGGCTCTCCTCTTTCACCTTCCCCTCCTCTGATCCTCGCAGACCCCTTAATCTTCATCATCTGCTGCCCTGGTTTGGCATGGAACCAAACAACTGGCATCCTCTTGGCCTGAGTCATGCAACATGCGAGAAACACACACACACACAAACACACAAACACACATGTTAATTTGTTTTACCCTGAATGCTCGTTTAGCTTAGCCATCACGCAGAGTCACAGGTGCTAATCGGACTTATTAAAGGTGCCTTTCCTGGATAAGGGATCACGCAGAGATAAACTCCACAACCGCTGTGTCGATGAAGAGTGATGCTCAGGGGGCTCAGAGCCAAGCGAGCACTGTCACAGTCCTCCATGTTAGAAGGTTTAGTCACGGGTGTGAGACTGCTAAAAGTGTTGATAAGGCTTTATTGAAAGTGGGGTGTGATGTTGCTTTGACATCGCTAATAGCTTCCAGAGGTACAGGATGTTTTTAGGCACCTATTTAAGATGTTCTTCTGCGAACGCTTTGCTTAATGCCAAAGCCCTATATTTGTTCGCTCCACCTCTGCTGGGCGCCTTGTTATCAGTGGCAGTAGTGACCAGCTTAACTGCCCTTTGATGCTCTGCTAATGAGATTAATCAGAGTGGAACATGAGGGATTTTGGCATGTGCAATCTCTCCTCCCTCTCTCCCTGTGTGGTCACCCACACGGCTGCAGTTTTTCAGCTGATATTTAAACATGCAGTGCGACCCGAGCCTCACTGAATCTAACATGAGCAGAAGTACATTTCCACATCCGTCCTGTGGTTTGTCACAACAGTCATACTTGTGACTCACTCACTGAGAACATGCTATAAAAACCACAAAACCTGTTGCCTTGAGTTTCGTTTGTATACAGGAAGAATAAAGATTTTTTTTCTTCTGATGCAGTTCTCCTTTTAGTCCACTAGGGGTTACTGTGTGAAGTTCTTGTGATGACTTGTGTCCACTTCAGTTATGACACACAGGGTTTGGCTGCAGGTTGGGCTGCATCTTTTGTTAGTGCATTAATGAAACGCAGACTTACTGACTGTTTGGCTCCATTATAAGACATTAATCTCATGCACCGCGCAGGACGAGAAATAAACCGTGCAGCAGGTGTTGTCAGAGATTCTACCTGTTGTCTCTGTTGCGTGACTGCTGAAGGGTGGAGCGCTGTGAACAGTGTGTACCTATGAACTGTATGCAAATATCCCCCCAGGCTGTGTATATCTGCCTCTGTGTGTGTGTGTGTGTGTGTGTGTGTGTGTGTGTGTGTGTGTGTGTGTGTGTGTGTGTGTGTGTGTGTGTGTGTGTGTGTGTGTGGTGTGTGTGTGTGTGTGTGTGTGTGTGTGTGTGTGTGTGTGTGAGTGTGAGTAAATAAAAAGCAGCATCAGAGACAGAGATTCACTGGAGCTGGTTTCCCTTATTCATCATATTCCACAGAGTCAGTTGTGATGTGTTTACAGGCACAGAGAGATATAAGGCATGCCCTGAGCTGACTCCATGTTAAACCTCACATGTATCCAGAGTCAAAAACAGAACAGGAATAAAGTTTTTAATGCATAAGGACGCACTTTAAATCGTTTATATTTATCGTCCTTAAATAATTTAGTTTAGTCTGCCTGCAGGGTGCAAATATCCACTGGAGGACATGTTCAACAGAATGTAGTCAGAAGAGTAGAAAAGAACACAAGCTCAAGTCCACTGACCGTTTACTTTGCTGTCTTTGCACGGTAGAAGTGCACGTTTTTTTTTTTTAATATGACCATGGCCGTGGCTCCATGGTAAATCAGGCCAAGCGAGTCAAAAGAATCAGGCCACAGGTCCAGAGGGGAGTCTTTAAAAAAAAAAAAAACGAAACAGAAATCATCAGTTTGTAGCCTGCAGCCTGTGTGAAGCTTTTTGTCCTATGTTTTTAATTTTTATTTTAGGTCAGGAGATCCATATTTCCTAAAGCGAGAGGGTTGTGTGTGTGTGTGTGTGTGTGTGTGTGTGTGTGTGTGTGTGTGTGTGTGTGTGTGTGTGTGTGTGTGTGTGTGTGTGTGTGTGCGCGCCCTCTCTCTCTCTCGCTTCCATGTTTGGTCCATAATTGCTGAGCTTGTTAAATATTTACCCTCAGGATTAACTTTACCTCCTCCTTTGTCTTTCTGCCCCGATTGTCTTTATTTCTCCTCCGGTGTGTGTTTTCTTTTGGAGTCCGATTGTTTTTCACTGCTCATTATTTAAAACTAGAATCATTTTAGTTTTGTAATCAGGTTATGAGCGTTTACGTTCAGAGGGGGTCAGGTAATGAGAGGCGAGGCTTCAAGGGGATCTCTTCTCGTTAATTAATTTGTATTTTTGCTGCTGATGTGCTGACAGGAGGATGTTTTTTTGGATTTGAGTCGTAATCACCTTTAATATCGTCTCTCATTAATCCTCCTGAGCTCCTGGACCAATGAATGAAACAAGCTTGAACTACTGCAGTATCTGTCAGTGTTCGTGATGACAGGAAGGACTCAAAACATGAGTTTTTCCCATCTGCAAAAATATCCCACGAAGCAAAACCTTTAAAGGAAGAATGTGCGACTTTAGTTAACTCGTAGCTTCACATTGCACATAAACTGACACAGAATGACCGACATTTAAAAACGCTTACTCGCCATTCTCCCTGTTGGAGGTTATAGTTCTATTAGATTGACTTTAAACCGTCTGTTTGAAGGAGGAAAAGTTACAGGTTGTTGCTTTAAGTAGCTAAGGGAGAGTAACCTTCGGTGTAGCCTTGCTG